GTGTGTGTGTGTGTGTGTGTGTGTGTGAGTGCGTCTGTGTAGGTATTTGTGTGGACTGTGTCGGGGTTTTTTAACGCTCTGTGGTCTAGCTAAAGTGCTCATGGGACTTCAGCCTACTTGAATCCAGACTAAACCAAGTTTTTTCCTTGGTGCTCTCTTCAGCGTTCCTTATTTCTTTTTTTTAAGTCCGAGTCTGGCAAGTCTACGTTGTCCTCTGGCTTTATACTCACAGGACTGACAGTGGTCCACAACAGAATACTCCTCTAGGGAGAACATTGATCCTGTTTTCTTGAAGGTATCTGAAGGAGAAAAAAAGTATTTGCATTAGGGGTGCACCAAAAAATTGTTTTAAATCCGAATCGTGATTCTCATTTACAAAGATTCAGAATCGATTTAAAATGTCCCAAAATCGATTTTTATATATATTAGGGGTGCAACGATACAGGAAATTCACGGTTCGGTTTGGTTCGATACTTCAGTCTCACGGTTCGATATTTTTTCGATACAAAAAAGAGAAATGTCCATGCCCCTTTTAACTTGTAATTTATTTTTATTAATTATGAACATTTGTTTAACCTCAAAGGTACAGTTTTTAATCAAATGTTGCTGAAACAGCAAGTTTCTCAGTGGATCTGCTCTCAAAAATGCAGCCTAGGTGGAGTAGTCGAACACAGATCCACTGATCCTTCAACACAGAGCATCTTCAGAAGACAAGCTGATAAAATAAATTTTTAAAATCTGTATTGTTCGATACAACACTGTTCGATACAGGTGCATGTATTGTTGCGCTATGTATATAAAGATTGAAAATCTAAAGGTTGTCAGCCTCCATTGTGCAACCACTTTTGACGTCCTGACGTCACACGGAGCTGGTTCTGGAATGTATGCATGCACAGAAAGCACCAAAACAAAGAGGAAGCTACAAAACTGGAGGAAAGAGAGATTCAACTGACCCTGTCTTCACTGAATGCAAAGATTTGGGCTCTTTTTGTTTTGTCTGAGTTTGATATGAGCTTCGCTGTGTACAAAATTTGCAAATGAAGATGAAGCACTTTAGAAACAGGACAAATGGCTTCACATTGGGCCTCATGCAAGAACCGTTCGTACGCACAGATTTGTTCTTAAATTGTGCGTACGAGTGATTTAGGAGAATTTGTGGCATTCACCAATGTTTTCGTATTCTACGATTTTTTTCAGATACGAACAAAATTTACGAGTGGTCCAGACCTGTCGCATATTTTACCAGCAGTCAGTCTGCTGTTATCCAGATGGGTTTTCTTCACTAATAACTTTATATTTCGTTAGTTTGAAGATATTTTGAGTTGAAAATAAATCACACTCTATAATTATGTTGACAAACGGTGTGCAGCGCTGTGTCTTCTGAATAAATGAAAATGATTTAACACAGTTGTTT